GTAACAAGTGCCTCGCTAGTAGTAACAAGTGCCTTACTACTAGTAACTAGTAACAAAAAGCTATTAAAAGCATGTTTAAACAAATACATCTCTCAACGCAGTGTTTGCGACGGCCGCGCTGGCCGCGCTGCCCTACCTTGCTGCTCATCTTCTCCTTGATCTTATCCTTCTGCTCGTCTGACAGGCGTTGGGCCGAAGTCACCTTCACCGGGGTGATCGCGTTGTTGAAGTACATGGCCTTCCAAGAAACAGGCATGACTGACACACCTCCAAATGACTTGTCAATCCAACCGATCAAGTCTCAATTTCGGATAGGATAGGATTGAGTTTTTCAATCTTGAGCAGATGCTGGCGAAGGTTCTGGTCATGGGGTGCGATGGGTGGATGTGCCGCAACTCACAGCAACATCGGTGCCTGGACGAATTCAAGCATGATTCTCTTGACGCCCCCCAAGCGGTTCTTCTTGGCCAAGAAGGTGATAAACTTGGGCATCACCTCACTGGATGGCTTTCTCTAGGGATGAAATGGAGGAAGAAACCCACACCATTGCTCGAAGCGCAACAGGCCCTAGAAACTTAACCACCAAAGCTACCTGCAGGGCAAAAAGGACACTCAACCAAACACCCAAAAGATGTTTTCGTCCTTCTCTTGGCTGAGTCACCGAGGACTTCAGGCCGGGCATCAGCTTGACCATGGTCTCGGCCTTCTCCAACTCCTTGAGCTTGGGATTGTTCAGCACCGCGACCAGATTCTCCTTAAACTCATCCGAGTCGTACATTAGTTTGATGTACAGCACATCCTCCAGCGGATCTGAAGCGCATTCCATGAGGCGGTTCCGATTTTGGCATCTCGGAGTGCTAGATGCATTTCAAACATCGCCGATCTTAGGGGGATACACCAGCAAACCGTTGAAAAAACATGATTTCGTGCTTCCCATGCCCCCCCCATCCCATCCCCTTTTCTCCTTTGTCACCGCCACTTCCTCACCCTTGCTTTTGCCTCCCTCCATGAGTGCTTTGGCATAGGTCACCACCGGTCCAAAGGGCGTGAGACCAGAGGAGTCCGCCTTCCGAGCCACCAAACTCTGATCACGGGCCGTCGACCACCCGCTCTTCAAGGGTGGGGTGAAGGCATTCCACAAGCCCAGCCTGGGTGAGAGCTGTGTGAAAGCTGAGGCCTGCAGAATCCTGAAAGAATCGCAGTTAACACACTCCAATTGATATACGTCACCTTTGGTTGCACGGCGGGTTTTCAAGATGGCTGTGAGGGGCTTCAAAGTTCGACCTAGTTGGGTATCACTAGAGCATGGAAGTGTCTGGGAGTTCCAGTAAGGGAAATCTGAAAGACCTCAAGACCTTAAGAAATCCCAAGTGGCAACACGCAAACCACTGCCACACTTCGGAGTCCGCGCATCATGGCGTTTCGAAGAAGGGAACTGCTTGGGGTGTACAAAAAAGAGAACACAATGCGATGAAGCGCCTGCACACGTGAGCACACTTCACAAATGCTCAGCTTCTGGCAATGGCTGCGGACACCCCGCGAGCGAGCCACAAACAACAAGGGTGACAGGCCCAATGAGGTATTGCTGGATGAAGCCAATTAGGTGTCAAAACATTCAACACCAAGGTTGTGACTGTGGCTATGTTGCCCCTGTTGTCCCTAGCAAGGAGCACCTCCCAACTCTCGAGAGAATTCATTCCTTGCCTTCGGACAATTCGGGTTGCATGAGGAGCCTGCCATGCCTGCCATGCGCGGATGCTTCAACTCAATGTCAAGCTCATTTCAGCTACTGTGTCTAGATTTGATCGACGAAAAGTGGGACAAGAGAACATCTTCGGTCTTTGACATGCGAGGGCTCTCATCTGCTACCACAATGAGCGGAAATTCCTGCACTCCCATGCAACATCATGCAACTACATATTCTATTTATGCTGCATGCTGGTACGATGTCCCACTGCTGACAGCAGAAACATCATGAGAGTTTCTCGGTGTGAATTCTTGAGCTAACACTTGATCGCAATTGAAGGCTAAGTCTGCCACTGCCACAGCGTTGGGCACTGTTACCTATCAAGAGATGTCAATGCAGGATTCGGGGCAGTTGTGGAGGAAGTGGAATGCCAGCCACATCTCTCACAAAATTACGTTGAGGGTCCCTCAACAATTCGCCCAGTCTGGCGCCCAGTCTGGCCCAATGGTCGGTGGACCTTCCTGTTGTTCGGAGCAGATGGGATGCGAAGGGGATGGCCTGACCCGCAGAGAAGATTCCTCGTTGGGTGTGGTTCACCGGCCTTGCCCCCCCAAACAAAGAAACAAAGAAACTCGAGCCAGCCATGTGTTCCTTCCTGCTGTTCAGCCAGTGCCGAAACCGAACCAAGCTGAATGTCTTTATGCGCCTGGCTGTGTTGCCGGAAGTGTGGCTCCGTGAAGGGCCTGGGTCAGGGCGGTCACGGCGCTATGTGCACTGATCCATCCAAGAAGACTCTCTAGGAGAACTCATGCAGAGTTCGCCAAATGAAAAACACATTCATGTAGAATATCATATCATGTAAGAAAGTGTGCACAATTGTGCATACTGCACACATAATAATAAGAAGAATAACAATAATAGCAATAGTAATAATATGACACACACACATATATAATCATATATATATATACCCAAACACTCCATGTATGCCATATATGCCTACATTGACCCCCAACACCAGCCCAATGTACGCATATATCACAAATGATCATGTATGGCATACATGGAGTGTCTGGGATATTATACATATTTGTATATATATATATACATACATACATATAGAGTACACTATGCAGGACCTAATATTAATACATGGCCGTACTTCGAATGGTCAACCCGGTGATACATGAACACCAAACTGGACATCTCTTGCCGTCAGTACGTCTCTGGCTGGCACAGCATGGATAGCATGGAACAGGTCTGGTTCGTTTCACATCTCTGAGCTGGTCACGGGGATCCGACCTGCACTGGTTGGCAGGGTCGCGAATTATTGATCACAGCTGGCATGGGGTAGATCGGAGTCGTCGCTTGCTCCACCTGCACGCAACTGAGTGCTCACATCACTCGTGGGTTCGTCTGCAGTGCTCGAGAACTTGGAGTGCTCGATAGTGTTCATAACAACATAAACAACTGGTAACTAATTCCGGATGATCCATAATGGAGAGAAGCTTTACGCAGCCACGTCCCACCCATGTCAAGAGCTGAGCTCCCTCCAGCCATGACATGGATCCCTTTGGGGCTTCGAAGCCAATTGGGGGCGTGGATCGCCGATCGATCAGATTCTGGATCAGCTCGGTGCCCGGCACGCCAGCGGGACAAGGGAGTCGCCGGTGGCCTGGGAGCGTACCAAACGGCGGGGCTCGGAAACGGCGGGGCTCGGAAGCCATGTGGTAGGAGGGTTCCCAGGTCCCCAGGAAGAGCCGCAAACAAATTCAGAAGGGGGCCCTAGAAGGGGAAAGAGATGAAGTCTCTTAGCTCAAAGACAGCCTAATAGAAATGCTGGTCCTCTTCCATGCCGCATCTGGATGTAAAATTTCAAAGGCCTCCTCTTATTGAGAGAGGCAGCTTGCCAACCTGCTTGCCTGGAAAGCTCTTCATTGAAACAATGCGTTGGTTGCACCGACTCAACTCAAAAAGAGGCTGCTATGACACTCAAGGACCTATGGCTGAACCTTTTGAGACAATAGGGCAGTTGCTTGCTTGTCCCATCTTGTCTTGTCGCGCGTCTATTGCCACCTTACACAGCTTTCTTATCTTTCTTAGTGACTTTTGCCTGTGCCCTTTGCAGCAGAGTGCTCACTTTCAAGAAAACATCCAGTGGATGGCAGGCTAGCTAACTACCATTCAACACCACCTGCCAGCGCTGATGTTTGGCCAGAAACGACCTTGACGACCTGTGACGATGTTCCTGCAGTCGCCCGACGACGTTGCTCCGCTATGGTTCCGCTGACGACGTTGCTCTCAAAGATGACCATTCCACCATTCCACGGATAGAGACAGGAGTGATGTCGTGAGCCTCGTCACCCTACGATGCAATGCAACACCGCTAGGCGTGTATGCAGCCGGCGTGCTGTCTTTCACTCACGTAGGCGGGTCAAGGTGTATGTCAAGTCTATTAATCACACTCTACACGTGTATATGTATATATATATATTATACTGCGTCTTGATTCCTGGGTAAGTTAAGCATTCTCTCCATATCTATCAATGTTTCTCAGGGCCTTTCTGCCTTCCCTGAAGTCGAGGTCCAAGAGTTGGAGTGTCCAAGAATGTCCAAACGAAAACAGTGACTGAGGCCCAGACCGCTGCCATGAAACCGGTGGCTCTGGGACGGGCCTGACAATTCTTGTCTTGTGTCATGCAGCAAAATGGTTGGAAGCTGCCCTTCACGGTCCATGCACATGTTCGGACGTGACATGAACAAAAGCTCATTCCTTCGCGGTCCCTGAAGGAAAATCTCAAATCCCTGAAACAGGGGTGAAGCACCAGAGCAACCAGGGTCCTTCAACCACGGCTCCTGTAAAAGGCAGTACAAAAAGCCACCTCACCTTGAATGGATGGCGTGCTGCATCTGATTGTCATGCTGCATGGCAAAGTAATTCACCGGATGATAGCCTTGGAATATCTGGGAATCGTCATGCGACAATGATCTGTGATATGGAACTGAGGTCAATGGCTCATGCTGATTATATAACATGTTGGCAGTTTAACTTGCAGTATGACTCAAAGTAACTCCAGTTCAACAAATTCTTTACAGCACCCTGGAACGAAAGGAGCCCATTCCTCTGACATGATGCAATGCCATGCCATTGACAGTAGTGTCCATAGAACCCAAGAGATCCAAAAATAAGGGAAACCGTTTAGACATGTTTGGAAGCGCTGCGCGTTTCATTCAGGCTAACAAATTCTATCAAATTATCAAAGAACAAAATTCAACACTGTTTCTAGTACAACAGTGGCTGGCCATATGACGAGGATCCTCACCAGAAGGGCCGACCAAATCCGCGTTGTGACGGCGTCATGGATTCTCAAAGCCTTCTCCGAAGCCCTTCCGAACAGTTCCTGGACGTCCATCGAATCCAAGCAGCTCTGGGAGTAGGTCTTTGGTGGATTCGCCGCCGCAGACTGCACCATGCTTGGCGCGGACAGCACCATGGTCCCCGTCGGAGCGGTCGTGGCCGGTCCGATGAAGCTTCCCGCCGGAGTCCCGGGCGGACCGCGTGACCCCCACGGAGGGCATGGGGGCGGACTTGGGGGAGCGCGAGTCCTCAGGGCCATGAGGGAAAGATGGAACGAAAGGACAGGAGGACGGGATTCTTTGGGCAGAAACACCTAGGAGATCATTACATGCTGATGTCAATGCCTGGTTTCTTTGTGTATCGGAAATCATGTCTAATCTCATATCTTAGGCCACTAAGTGCTGTAGCCAAACTGTGGGCCTCATTGGGCCTCTAACACTCCTGATCTCCAAGTGTGCTTCTTAATTTGGGCAAGCGGAGTCACTTCCGTTGATTGTGCCGTGCTCTTCCCATTGCTTCTGGGGAAGCACATGGATGATCATGGAAGTACAAAAGTCACACAGCAAAAGGATTCAACTTCCAAACGATCTATTTGGAGATGATCTCCACAAGGTCTTCTGTATTGGTCATAGGTTTTCTGTATCGGTCACTCAGCCAAGTCTCTGAAGACCAGGTGATAGCGAGGCCGCTTGACGAGGGCAGTAGGTCAAGTCCATTGGCCTCAACTAGGTCGTTTCGTTTGGCTGCGGGGGAACCGCCTCCCATGAGCGAAGCCACCATGGTGCCCCTTAGTGGGGGGCGGCTTTGAGAAGCACCCTCGTTTGAACAACTTCGGGGGACGCTCCCTGCTCAAAGCAAATTAGGTCCCCTTTGGATTCGGAGCAGAGAAAAATCACCTGGTTTCGGAGCTAAAAAAATCTTCGAGTGTCACTTTTGCTTGGAGACTTCGTCCCCTGAGAGAAGCAGTTGGAGTCTGAAAGTCGACCAGTCTGACTCCGCCTGGAGGGTGTTGGCGAGAGCTCTGGAGCTCGAGGCCTCTCAGACCTGCAGAGCGACGACGAGTGCCTCGCGAGACTGGGCGAAACTGACCAGTCCAGGAACTCGCCATCAGAGGAGATTTGACCCGAAATGATTTTACCCAGCCATGGGCCCATGGGTCAGGGCTGAAGCTTTGTGCAGATGATGGCTCCATTCCTCCATAATGTTCCTCCCTGGAATTTCACAGCCTTTGGTGGATTGCAAAAAAATGAAAAAAACTTTCCGCAACCGGACAACTTGGTGTCCCGGCGGCAAGGGGGCAGTGGTGCACAGAGGAGACTTGCTGGGTATTGTTTGCACTTCCGCCTGCGGCTGCAGCAAACTTGTGTACAGCTGCGGGACCTTTTTAGCAAACAATATGATGAATACCATTCGATACTACAAAAAGCCAATGGATGCTACAGATATCAGATTCGTGAAGCTTGCAGGCCTCTTGTATCTGCCCTTCTTCCTTTGCAGATGTTCTCAAAGGTGGCTCATAGCTAAACCTCAGTCCATTCAGCCCATGCTGCGGTCGCTCCGGTCACCAACTTGAGGCTTCCCGAGGCCGCGACCAGCCGGTGAGCGAACGCCTGGGTGAGCGAAGCCAGATGGGCCCCCGCATGCGGTGGTATAAGCCCGTGGGTCCAACCCAGAGCCCTAAAGCCTGGTAGGTTGACCTCCCTGGAAGTCTATTCCCTTCCTGTGGTCAACCAGGGTGCTCCGGTTTTTGGACCCAACAGCCATCTATGGGCTTCAAGATCTCCATCAAATGCACTCACGATTCCGTCGGGTTGGTCGATTCCGCCGGCTCAGCTGTGCTCCATCCCTCGAAGAGTCCGCCGGTCCATGGCGCCTCGGCCGGTCCATGGGTCCAATCCGTTGGGGTCGAGATATAAAAGATCGGAAGTGCCGATCCAAGGTATGCCATAGACGTAAACATTTACAGTACTATATATAATATCTTTTCGACCTATGGTTTTTCAGGTTTCCCCTTTTCATCGTTTTTGGGCTGAAGTGATCTACATTGGGCCGATACTGAGACAGCGGCCAGCAAGGAAGTCATAGACCCGTTCCTGAGTTTTCATGCTTTGACTCTGACTTGATTTGGTGTTTGGCAGAGTACTAGGGCTCTCTCCAGCCATCTGATCATTGTTTGACTGCAATATTTATATATATATGTATATATACATGTATGATTTAAAATGATTATATATGTGTGCAATTATGATCAATTGTGTATCTTTTTGGGGGATGCTTGATGGTGCTCGCTCACTTGGCGGGCTTTTGCAGGGGGCCGACTTCTGAGTCCCCTGCGGCTGCATCTGGCTCGCAGCTTGATCTGCCAGGAGTGAAGCAAAGAGTGATACTCAGTGGCCAGCTCCTAGGTGTACCTAGCGTGCTAGCTCCTTGAGAACGCTTCTTACGCTTCAGTCCGCATCTCACCTGCAACAGCTCGCCGTCCCAAGACTGGTGAGCGGCTGCTAGTCCTTGGAAGAAATTGCGAGGTTCTATGGATGGATGTCTCTGCACGGCCCAAAGGTTTTGTGGAGTTGGATGATGCAAGTGAGTAGTTCAGCCACAGCATCCACTCAATCATAATCAAGCAACCAGCAACAGGACGCAAAGAGTGAGCGAGACCAAAGAGGGAGAGAATACTATATATATCAAGGTATGCATATCAGCATATCACATAGTTTATAAATATAATATATATTATATACAGTACAGTATATACAGTATATATTGTGCATTGTATGATATAAAGAAGCAAGGAAGGAAACAAGGATCGGTCTTCATCCACCCTCATCCACGAACATCTCCGTCTTCGGACTCTCTCGCACCACGGTCACCCCTTTTCCTCGGCAGTCGCTGGCAGTCGCTCTGGCCGCCGTTGAGGCCATGGGCCATCCTTTTGGTTGGCCATCCGAGCTGCGAGCCACTCCGTCCCTGATCCTCTGAGGTCCAATCAGGTGATCTTCATGGGTCACAACTTCAATCAACATCACTTCCGTTTTTACCCGTTTTTTGGGGGAGCGTCCTATCCGAGTGGATGCTGCTGTGGTGCAGCAGTCCAAGATTGGTAACGTGACCCTGACAGCCGGTAGACCAGTTTCTGATTCAGATGGGTCGAATAATTCACATTCTCCTCCCCCATAGATGTTGGAAGTACTACAATGTTGCTCAGAAAATATGAAGGAATACAAATGACAGGAATATACCAGGAAACTCGTTCTACTGGGTGTGTTCTACAATTTTTGTTGCCTTGATTTTCTGGCGACTGCGACTGTGGCACCAACAGCAGGCGCTTCGACAGCTCCACTCAGATTCAGCGAGCTCTTGCGGCAACATCGCCTGGCCATCCCAGCCGATGAGACAAATGGGTCCTATGGTCTGCTTCAAAGCGTCTATTCTCTCAGAAACCTGTGCAAGCAGGAGAAGGCAAGCAAACAAGTACCTTTGAAGCCACAGTGATGTCAAGCTCCACCCACAAGCCGCAGGTTGGGCCTCATTTGTCCTTCTGGAATAAGGGATGAGCCAAAGCTGCCTCTGGAGTACATCGATCCTCAGTGCCAGATCTGCGACGCGCTCATGGGATACCTAAATACCTTCCAGCAGGGCCTCTGTGACAACAAAAACAGCAGGTGTCAAACGTCTTGGAGGGCTTCCTGCTCTTGGACGGGTTTGGGAATCCAACTTTCAGAGTTCGAAGTGCACTGGGCAATCCCCCATGTTGTTTGCAGCTGCTTGCCGTTTGCAACCTATTGCGCCCAGCTTTGGCCCTCGGAGCCAATACAGTAAAAATAAAAGGGAAAGAAGCCAAAATAAAGGCTCTAAATAGGAAAGAAACCATAACAAAACCTTGGGAGTCCTAGGTCCTAGGGTCATCTTATGTCATCTTGTATGCTCCACGTCCAATTATGTCTTCCGGTCATCCCCCTGTGGAGCATGTCCCTGTCAAGAGATTGGTTTTCTACAGATCGCCCCTTGCCGCGTTTGTGTCCCAAAGGGTCAAACGGTCTAACCAGTCACAACGACAGCAGCAGCAGCAACAACAACATGCCAGAAGCCCACCACCTCGGCAAGATACCTTGGTGCACCTAGCCTCAAACAGTCCTTCTGACAGCTCCTACTTCCTCATTTCTCATTCCAATCTCCTTCCAACACCGGTCTTATCATGCGTAGCTGCGTACCCTTAAAGGCCTGGCCCTTGCCTCTCTGACCGCAGCTGGGCGTCGCCGGGCACCAGCTTCAGGAGATTTTGCACCAAGTCGGCCAGGCGCGGCATGAGCCGCTCCTGCGTCTTCGGATCCTGGGTCGCTCGGGCCGGGTCCGAAGATGTCGGTCTGAGGATGTGCGACCAAAATAGCCTCAATTCATCTGATGGTGTTCCGGGTCCCCGGGGGCTCAGGTGAATAGTCAGAGCCATCAAAAAAGGGGCTGGCCTCACCTCATACTGTGTATAAGGTTGTATATAACCAGAAGTGGTCTTTGCCAGGCCTTTACGGATCTCAGAAAAACTCCATCTGCCCTCGCTGCACTTGTCCGACCAAACCAAGAAGCCGAGTTGGGAGGCGGATTCTTGAAGACTTTGTCCAACATGCCACTCACCTCAATGTCTGCTGATGCGTGTTAATGGATGAGGGCACGGTGATGTTGTCAAAAACAGCCAAGGGTACTCAGATCAAGGAAAGGGAACTGAGAAGGCATGACCTAAAAATATCTCAAGGGCCCAAAGTAAGTAAAATAAATATGAACCAATATGATACTGATACAATATGAGTGGATTCATCGACCTTCTGCTCACAAAAATCTCGTGCGCAGGTGCGTAGTACCCGTTTCAATTGCATATCTTGAACATATCTTGAACTTGCAAAGGATCCAAGAACCACCATGGTGCACTGGGAGTTCTTTGGGCATCATTGGCGAAATTGATTGAGCCAACAAGACTGCCATACAAGCGAGTGAAATGCAGTGGATGAGTATAAGCCCCATCAAACAAATTTGATCATGGATGCTCATGAATCTTCAGTAGCTGAGTCACAGGTTGCCTCGGCTTCTCATACTTCTTCATAGGGATGATATCTCCTGGGCACGGGCAAATGCTCCGGTACAGTGGGGGTAAAAGTAAAGAAAGTGAGGCGTGCGCCCACAAGTGGGCAGGATATGTGCCACGCGTTTCTCACCAATCACCGAATGCCTCTTTTCTGGGGCCTACCCTAGGTTTCCCAAGCTAGGACAATCCGCAAATGCCTTCATCTTCTTTGCCCGGACTTAGACTTACGGTCACCACCATCTAGGATACAACTATACTAATACTAACTATACTATACTATATAGTCCATATATGTTTGCCCCAAATATCCCCTGACCATCCCTGACCCTCCTCTGGCGGACGACGCGTGAGAACACCTGTGTGGACGACCCCGGATCCCTGCAGTGGAAAGCGGCGGATCCCTGTGATTGAGTCGGGATCCTTCAGCAAATACTCACCTGGAGGCGATCTGATGCAGAAAAGAGACAACACATGAGTGGTTTGTGGATAGCTACAGAAGCTGGTGGCACCATAGGAATGGTGTTTTTGGTTGGAGCACCAGGTTAACCCCACAGCCCTCCACTTGGCGGGCTCTCTTCGATTCGAGCCGGACGCCCGAAACCAACCCAGATATGGACTCTCAAGACAAGAGGTGCGTTGGGTCTGATGGATCCGTGAAGGTCCGACATACTCTAGATGGGATGGCACCCCAGGCTGAGAGGCCTTCGGAGTTGAAGTGCTTCGCGGCAAACTCCCCCGACGTCGCCAGCTTCTTGGGAAAGGCACCGGACACCTGGCACGGAACGGTCCCAGTTGCGATCAAGACCGGATTGGGGCAATGTTCGTTGTCTCCTCTAAGCCTTCGTACCTGGGTTGTTTTTCTGTTCAACGCGATTCGATACTATTCGATACTGCGCTGGTTTGCAATGGGAGCTCTGGCTCCATCCGGCTAACTCATTGAGTTCGTTGGGTGGCCGTTAATGGGGCCATTGATGACACTCAAACACATTGTAGTTATATACATGTAATGTCGAAATGGAATTGCAGATGAGTCAGATGAGGGTCTTCAAACACACCACCACTCGGGTCCCGCAGTCCGCACTTCTCCAACATGGGCAAATGCCGAACACAACGAACTAAACTTGGCCAGCACAACATCCAACATTCCAACTACAAAAGCTTGTTGGATCAAGTTGGGTCTTGTTGGTATTTGAATAGGCCTATCCAGGCAGCATAGTCGGCAACAACAGGTTAAAACCCTGACCCGACCCCCAATCACAAAATGGATGCCGGCTAGGGATGTCAACCAACCTACTGAGCATGTTCAGCCCTGGATGGCTCCAGAATAGAATGGAGTACTCTTTGTTGCTTAAAGCGCTGAAAAAACATGGCGCCCTAAGAAATTCAATCCGGATCTTTGTCTCTCTCCTAAGAGCGGCATCCTGAACTCCTGGCTGGCTCAGGTGAATGTGCACCAGCCCAGCCAGCCCTCTGGTGTCTCAGCCTCTAACATCTGGCGGATCATGGAGTTGTTCCTCAGCAAATGCTGAGAGAAGATTGAACCATCCTGAAGATGAAAACACAACTTAAATAAGAAAGCGATTTCTCTCACTGACTTGGAAACAGTGCGTTTTCAACATACGACTTTGGGTTCACCAGAAACTGGGTGGAGATACGGGACAAAAGAATGGACCTTTAAATGGGTGAGCAACGGGTGTTTGTTGGCAAGATGTAGTATGTGTGCAACGAACTGCTGATCTAGTGCATGCTACTAGCATCCTCTCTCTCTCTCCCCCTCTCCCTGAGCATGCCCTACAGATCTTCACACACCAACCCTGCAGATTGATGTGTTGTTCCGCCAAACCGGTGTCTTTCGATGTCTTTTGACCCGTTCTTCTGCATCCTCCGCCTAAGAGTCGTCTTCCCAGTGAAGAGGATCTTGCCACTCGCCAGCTCGAAAAGGGTGACCCCGGCACTCCAGAGATCAATCTGGGTGTCATACCTTACGTGTGATGCAACTCAAGACGTGATGACGTTTTCACACCTGGAGGATTGATGTGAGCGACTTGCAAAACCACTTTCTGAAGGTTTCCTTCACTTTACTTACTTAGTCTTCACTGTAGTGATGCTGCCTTCACCGAAGGTTTTGGCAGTTGCTCATGTGAACCTGGAGGCTCGAGACATGATGTGTGCCTCGTGCCAGAAAAATTCTGATGCTGCACACGGTGGATACTGGACCGGTCAGCCAACCAATGTGGATTACAGCGCCGGGTGCTACGAGAACTTGGAGGAAGGATCGCAACGATCCAAAAAGGGAAGGTGAGGGACTGATGACCCAACTGGTCGTTGTCACGTGACTTGTCTGTGACCCATGAGCCATCTGAAGACCATTCGACTTTGCTTAAGAAACAGGAGATTGACCCATAAGGATCAGAAGCGGCCTTCGAGTCACAAAACCATGCCTCCGAGGTCCAGCCAGCCATACGCTACACTCCCTCGAAGAATTCCATGGTTACGTGGAATGGCCCCCCCATCAAGCCGACCATGAAATCCGAACACCCGAAACACCGAATAGGTGCTTTTCCACTTCAATCAAGGGCCGGGTATATCTCGCCCAGAGCTTCGAGGCGAAGAACGTGGCGAGGAAGCATCCGCTAGTCAGCACCGTTCAGAAACACAAAGCGCCGAGGAGCCCTGTTCCCAGGATGACTTCAGGTGCTCGATAAAAGCGAGGTTGCAAGTATGCTGTTTTCACTGCCTCGCCCACATCCATCGCAGATCCGAAGTCGCACAACTTGATCTCTGTTTTCGCCAGTGTCATGAGGACCTCCGCATGCGCAGGACACTGGGCGAACTTCAACCCATGCGCAACACAAGCTGCCATTTGCAGTGCAATGGATCAGCCCAAGAAACGAAGTGGACACACAAAAACACAGAACTCAGCGCAGCCCAGGTGGCATTGTCAGGCTTTAAATCACCTTGGCAAAAACAAAAGGCGACTTGGATGCCAGTTCTTGGATGCCCTGTTCTTAGACACGTGTCATGATACTGATAAGCAGCCGCAAAGATTACCGTTTGATTGCTGCAGTTTATCTCATCCACCCCCTATTAGGACGCCCACCATGTATGAGTTTGATCTTCCGGAGGCACCGGAGGGCAAGGAAGAGTTGCCTCAAATTCAAAACGATAGAAAAACAACTACAGTATATAAAGTTGTGCCGTTCAGGAAGCCAATGCAAGACACACCAAGGCCACAAAAGCTTTTCAGCAATGCAACATGAACCACATCAACTTCTTTGGTGCATTTCCTCGGCCACACTCCACATTCCAAGCCGCCTGCCTGGCATACTGTGCCACCGTTTGAAGTGGAAGACCTTTTCCCTGCCCATACCTTGCGGGTCGGAAGCTGCACAGCTCGACTCAACGAGCTCTCACCCCGCAGCTTGACCAATGCCAGAGGGCCCAACCTCTAGCGTCCCCGCCAAAAAAGCACCACCAGACCCGGCGTTGCCAGGGATCCGGAGGGCGAAGCAGTCAAAGCCAATGAAAGGCGGGGCGAACATGTTGCACATCGTTTGAGAAACATGAGTCAGGCCGAGTTCAAGCCAGGTAAGTTTTAAAACAAAAATGTAACACACTCTGACATTGGTTTGCTGTTAACTCAATTCCCACGATGAGAA